AAACAAAAAAAAAAAAAAAAAAAAAAAAAAAGAAGTAAAGAGGAAGGTGCTCAAGGGCCAAAGAACAAGCCAAGTATGAGTTAGCCCTCTCCCAAGTGCTGCAGCTGATGACTGGAAAACAAAGCAATTATGAGCCTCTCTCCTGAAGGCTTGTTATGTGCTTTAAACAGTCACCATTCTAACAGGTTCTATGGCTCTGTCACACGTCGCTTTTTAAGCAAAAAGGGCTAACCATGAATATTTGAGGAATAAACATACATACATTTTTTTAAAAAGGAAAAGATCTTTATAGTTGCTAAGATTAACTTAGAAAAGTAATGTGGGAAGAACAGTTAATATTTAAAACATATATATCTATATACGATTTGGCCCAGCAAGCTCTTTTTTGAGGTCCATCCTATAAAAAAACACCAGTGTACAGGAATGTTTACTTCAGCTTCATTTAAATAGTATATAAAACCTGAAAACCCAGTAACAGAGAAATGGCTGAATAAGTACTGGTATAGCCCTACTATAACAAACTGCAACATGACAGATAGCTATGTATCTAGAGTGGTAGTTCTTAAACCTGACTTGCACATTAGATTATGTAGGAAGCATAAAACAAATTCTGATTCCTAAACCCACCTTCACATGGGAAAAATCTTGGTGGATGAGACCTGAGAATTAGTATTCTTAAGGTGCCTGAATGATTTTAATACGTAACAGAGTTTGCAGACCACTAGATGCCTAGTGTATTATTAAGGGAAAAAGAAAGTTGCAGAATAACATGCATATTATTGCATGTTATACTATGATAACTATAACATTACACACATATCGGTTTGTAAGAGCTGAGATGAAGGTACGGATAGCTACATAGGAGTCCTCCTTATCCACAGTTTCACTTTCTGAAGTTTCATTTATCCACTGTTCCCAAAATAAACAATTCATAAGTTTTCAATTGTACACCATCCTGAATAGCAAGCTGAAATCTCACACCAGCTCATGCCATTCCACTCTGTACTGCTTAGAACGGGAATTGTCGCTTTGTCCAGCATATCCGCATTGTATAGGTTACCCACTCGGGAGTCACTAAGCAGCCATTTTAGTTATTGGGTCAAGAAAACAGTACGTACAGAGTTCATAGAGGGCTCAGTACTATCGGTAGTTTTAGACATCCATGGGGGTCTTGGAACAGATATGGGGGACTATGGTGCTGCAAACTACTACCATGAGAGGGACATATGTAACTGTTAAAATTATCTTTAATCTTTTTGAAATATTCTTACTTTTAACCTAAAATAAAATGACACAGACATTATTAAAAACACGATTACCATTAACAGTAGAAGAAACTAAGTGAAGAATCTTCAGGAACTCTCGGTGGCTCAGCCTGTAATCCCACGCCTTTGGGAGGCTGAGGTGAGTGGATTGCCTGAGCCCGCAGGTTCGAGACCCGCCTGGGCAGGCGAGACCTCATCTCTACAATAAATCAAAAAATTAGCCGGGCGTGGTAGCGCACACCTGTAATTCCAGCTACTCGGAAGGCTGAGGCAGAAGGATCGCCAGAGCCCAGCAGGTCGAGGCTGCGGTGGCCAGGAGCGACCACTGCACTCCAGTCTGGGTGACAGAGTGAGACTCCAACTCAAAAAATAAATAAATAAAGAACTCTCTATCATTGCAATTTTTCTTCAAATCTATCGTTATTCTAAAATAAAGTTAATGTAAAAAAAGAACAAAAATAAAAAAAAACATGATCACCAATATCAAAGACACAAATTGCCCACAGTCCCATCACTTTAATAAAACTGTGTTTGCTTTTCATATTAACTCGTTGCCTTTGACTTCGGCATTGATACAAATTAGGATGCTTTGCATTCAGCTCTTCTTGACACTAATTGGATAGCAAAACATTTTCAAGTACCTACATTATCTCCATAATCACGTTTTCAAGGTTATATAATAATCCATCATGTTGATGTGCTGTAATTTAGTAAATACATCCTGTGCAGATCAACATGAGGCCCAGGTTTTTGTTACAACAGACAGTACTGCGATGAATGTGGAGTTTTTAAAAGCTTCTCTTGAATAATTGGTAGTAAATGTTATATATAGTGCCAAATAACTTCCCATAAGTTGTATCTACCATGTGTAATATTACTGAGCATTTAAACAGCAGTATTTACAATTTTGCCACAACCCCACTAGTACTGGATTTTGTTCTTTAATGTACTGAGTGTGAAATAGTCCTTCAAAGTGGCTTTAATTTATATTCTGCCCCTCCCTTTTGTTTCCTTTAAAAGGAAGAACTGGCAGGAACAGGACGGCATATACAAAACAACATCTGTATTCCTCGGTTAGTGCAAGAGAGTTAAGTGCAGGAGTCCTGGGAATACGGGACAAATCACTTAGGTACACACTGCTAACCACCTGGAAATTCACACTCTTCTGCTCTACTGGGACCATATCAGTTAACTGCATAATCTAGCCATGTGCAAACTAAACTGAACTGCAAATGCTGCCCTAGAAAAATTAATGGCCATAAGGACTATGAAGAGGCTGGTCAAAGTACAGTTAATTGGCTCTTATGATGTTACTGAATGTTACTCCCAAGCTATCCTGTTATTCTTCCTGAAAGAAAACAGAAGTTTTCGGCCAAGTGCATCCTGGAAGGCCCCTCTGCCACAGAACCACACTCCTGGTAAACAGGAAAGCATTTCTCCCAGCACCGGAGCTTGCTTTCAAACATGCATATTCAAGACCTTGCCAAAAGGACAGTGTGTCTGAGGCAAGGGTGAATTAATGGCAATGTCTGCTTTTCTGAAGGCCCAGTCTTGCAAAGGTATGGTGAGGGGTGCTGAGGGCATTCCTTCATCAAATCAGGGGGGAGGGGTAAACCTTTTCCCCAAACTGCTCCCCCTACCCTCTCAGGTCGTCTCAATTTTAGGTGTGTGTGTGTGTGTGTGTGTGTGTGTGTGTGTGTGTGTGTGTGTGTGTGTGTGTGTGTGTTTCATCCCAGCTTCATTCTAAGGTATCTAATACGTATAAAATGCTAAGGATACAGAGACCAAGGTAGTCATGTTGTCTATTCCCAAAGTGGTCCCAGAGCTGCTGATCGAGAGGTGCAGACATATATTAGTGCAATCACCCGCTGCAGATGCCATGACAGATGTCCACATGGGGCACCTCGGGGTACACAGAAAAGAACAGGCACAAAAAGGAGCAAAAACACACGAGCACTTCCTTCATAACTGTCAGGAGCTACAGAAATGCTTTTATTGCTAATATATGTTAGTTGCCTCTTATTTTAAAAGGGGTATATTAATAACTGTGCTGTATACAGAAGGTGCCAAAAAAAGTATACACATTTTCAGAATGGAAAACACGGTATTAAAATTGTAATAATAAGATGAATACAAGTTACGGTTGACTTCTGCAAGTACAAGAGGTGATCCAAGTGGTTACCATCAGCGTCCACACACTTCTGATTACCACGAACATGTCTTAACATCACTTAAAATGTGTATACATTTTAAGGGTCATAAGGGTCATAAAATCAAAAAAGGGGGAGGGATAAAAGCCACAGGGCACTCCGAATGTCTAATATTTGAACAATGGCTAAATTCAGTCTTGGAACTTGGATATGGAAATTTTTAATGATAAAAAATTATATTTATGAAGAGCTTTTAAAGAAGAAGAAAATGCTTATATATTAAAGAAACAGTATGCCTCCACTATATGAACAAG